ACATGAGTCTTCTCTTACTGTTGGATCCATTATTTGTGCTTCTTTTCTTCAAGATTATATTAATGTATGGATGGAATTGAACATGTCTCATTTTTGGAAAATTTCAGCATTCAGTGCTGTCACAAAGTTAATTTAGCTCATAGTCTCCCTTTAAAATAAAACAGTGCTTCCATCCAAGATGGAGTAATAAGGATTTACTTTTCTACCTGAAACAACTAAAGAATTGGACAAAATATTATGAAATAACAATTCTCAAAACATTTGCTGTTAGGCAGAAAAAGACATTGATCCCTGCGAGACAGAAGGCAAATGACGTGAGCCCTATGAATGCTGCAGCTATTGCCTGGAGAGTTTCTAGACCGTGGAGCACGGCAGATAAGTGCAGAAGAAGCCTAGAAAGCTCCTTGAGATGGAGGAGATGGATTGAAGCAATGGAGTTGGGAAGCTGAGAGACAGTTCATAGGGCAGAATACCAGAGAGGAGAAAGCCTCAAAAGAGAGAACTTTCACAGATCTGCAAGAGAGTTCTTTTCAAGAATTCAGTTGAATATTGATCAACACATGCTTGCGAGGAAACTACTTGGAGCCCAGAGACTTCAGGCCAGGAGTAGAACCTGAATCCATTAGCCATCCAGAGTGGAAAACCTCATAATTCACTTGATATTAGGTAGAGCATCAACCTAATATTCTATTTATTATTTAGCATTTTAGTTTTTATTTCTAAATATTCAATTTGGGTCTTTTCACTGTCATCTTTTTCTTTATTTAACATACTTAATGTTTTCCCTGCCTTCTAAAACATGGATGCATTTGTTGTTGTTGTTATGTGCTGTCGAGTCTGACCCAACTCATAGCGACCCCTGCTTGGGTTTCTGAGGCAGTATCACTACAGAAGTAGATTGCCCTATCTTCCTTCCGAAGAGTGGCTGGTGGGTGTGAACCACCAGCCTTCTGGTTAGCAGTCAAGTGCCTTAGGCTAGGGTACTAATTCCATCAACTGTGAATCAGTTTCCATTGATCAATATTTCTTTTCATTATAGCTTTATTTTCCTGCCTTTTTGCTTGCCTCTCTGCCTTTCTTTCTCCTTCTCTTCCTTCCTTCTCAGGCATGTAAAAGAAGACATTGTGAATTTTACCTTGTTGAATGCTAGGTATTTTTGTATTCTTATGAATATTTTTGAGGCTTTATTCTGGAACATATTTAAATTTAAATGACTGTAAAGTGTTTGTTCAGATATTCCTTTTAATCTTTTTTTAGGTGGGACCATTTAATATAAGGTTATTTTATCTACTACTGAGGCTAAACTGGGAGCTCTGGTGGCATAGTGCCTAAGGCATGTGACTGCTGACCAGAAGGCTGGCGGTTCAAACTCACCAGTCACTTCTAGGAAGGAAGGTTGGGCAATCTACTTCTGTAGTGATAACTGCCTCGGAAACCCAAGGAGGGGTCAACTATGAGTCGGGTCTGATTTGATGGCACATAACAACAATAAACTATTGTGAATACTTTCCCTGATGCCCCAGTGAATTATGAGGTTTTCCATTCTGACCGGTGGTTATAGGTGTTAAGTTGAGGATCATATTGTTTCTTCAAGGCTTGGTTTTATTTAAGCTTTGTTGAATCATTATACAGTAGTTTTTATTCTAGGACTAATTTAGCTTTACTGCAAATTCTATTGCTCACAGTGTACAGCAGGATGTTTCTACTTGCTGGCTGGAACTGAAATACCTTCCAGCTCTGTGTGAACTCTGAATTGTTTATTTTATAGCTTTTTTGCAGTTCTTTTGCCTAAAAAAGCTCCCAAAACCAAACTCACTGCTGTCAAGTCAATTCAATTCATAGTGACCCCTCCTTGAGTTTCCGAGGCAGTATCTCTATGGAAGTAGATTGCCCAGTCTTCCTTCCGAGGAGTGGCTGGTGGGTTTGAACCGCCATTCTTCTGGTTTGCAGTCAAATGCCTTAGGCACTATACTACCAGAGGAATTTCACCCAAAGTATGTACAGATGAGTATTAAATGAAAGATTCAAGGGGACCCCTGTTGTAGATATTTCTAGTACCCCTCCCCAATAATGCCCTTTGCTTTGGTATACTATTTGAGTAATTCCCATAGCCTCCACATTTATGAAATCTAATCTTTGTCTCTTCAGGTTAGGGAGATTTTTGCACTGCTTTGAATCTGTCTGTCTGCAGTGTTGGCTATAACATATCACTTGGCAGAAAGCCACAGGGCTAGTAGGTCTTATACCTAGTTTGTTTCCTTCTTTCTGGGAGCTCATATTTACTCTACTTGTGTCCATTGTTTGGAAACTATTGCTTCATATATCTTGTCTAGTTTTGCAGGTGTTTACTGTCTCTGAGGATAAATCAGTTATTAATTATGTAAAGAAAAGTCTGGTCCCAGTTACCGTATAACAGCTAGAAGCACAAATCCCGTACTGTTGGTATTAGTATGAGAGATTGGTAAAGACTTTTGGATTGAAGTTATAGGAAAGAATCAGTTGAGCCTTGACTGATTTATAGAGTTAATGGCCTTTTAGAAATTATATGTTTATGGGTTCTGTAAGTTGAATTGCCAGTGGTTTATCCTCTTCAACTAGATCTATCAGATGAGGCAATGTAAATAATAAAGCAATTCATTAAGGAGCTCTGGTGGCAGAGTGGTTAAGGCATTCCCCACCTAACCAAAAGGTCAGTAGATCAAATACTCCATGGGAGAAAGATGAGGTAGTCTGTTCCTGTAAAGGTTTAGAGTCTTGGAAACCCTCTGGGGGTGATTCCACTGTGTCCTGTAGGGTTGCTGTGAGTCTGAATTGACTCGATAACAGGTTTGTTTTTTTTTTTAATACAAATGTTAATTATTTACTTTGTTTTAGATTTACAGTAATTTATTGAATATTCTTATAGGTTGCTCTGCTTCAAAGCCTGGATTTTTGGCTTTTGTACTTAAAATGAAAATAGCTAGATTACCTTTATTGTGGGGGAGTTGGAGTTGGTGTTGGTGTTTCTATGTTAGCTCTAATCACCTAAATTAGATTAGTAGGTTTTGATTTTATCAGAGAAAAACTGCTGCTCACAATTAATAATAATATGAATCAGAAAGTAACCTAACTTTGTAACATATCAGTAAAGTAACTGGCAGAAAAACATATTTCATAAAATATATTGTCTCTATATTATTTTTAGGTTTTTGTACTCAGTGACATGCACTGAGAACATTTGTTGTGTGATTGTATATAGAACCATTTCACTTGTCATTCAAGCATATTGGTTTCCTGTTGTTGTTTTTGTTGTTGATAGATGTTGTCAAGTTGGTTTTGACTCATAGTGACACTATGCACACAGAATGAAATACTACCCAGTTGTGTACCGTGTACCATTCCCACAATACTTGCTATAGCATGATATCCTTCTTCAGGAATTGATTCCTCTTGATAACATGATCAAAGTACAAGACATGAAGTCTTACTATTCTCACTTCTAAGCAGCATTCTGGCTGTACTTTTTCTGAGACTGATTTGTTCATTCTTATGGCAGTCCATGATATAGTCAATACTCCTCACAAACACCATAATTCAAAAGCATCAGTTCTTCTTTGGTCTTATTCATTGCCCAGCTTTCCCATGCATATGAGGTGATTAAAAATACCATGGCTTGGGTCAGGCATACCTTAGTCTTCAAAGTGACATCTTTGATCTTTAACACTTTAAGGAGGTTTTTTGGCAGTTTATTTGCCCAGTACAATTTATTGTTTGATTACTTACTGTGTGCCAAATATGGTATTAGATGATGGAGAAGCATCAACAAAAGGAATTAGAAGATGGGGTTCCTAATCAGAAGACTACATGAGATGGCACGTGTTCTGGTTACCTAGTGACACTCTAACAGAAGATACCACAATTGGGATGGCTTCAACTTATAGGAGTTTATTCCTACAATTTTGGTTCTAGGGGCTGTGTGAAAGCCTCTCGACCTTGGGCTTCAGCTCTGCCTCTTGTTCCTGGCCCACTGAAGCTAGAGGCATCTCTTCACTCGGGCAGCTACTGGCTGCTGAGGGTGACAAGCCCAAGGTCGACAAATAAAATGGCACAGTTCTTATGTTACCAAACCACACAGCAGGCCATTGATTCAAGTCCATTGAAAGTCCTGAGATTGGCAAAGCATGGCAGGCTGCTGAACCCTATATGCAGGGTTCAAGCATACCATAAGCTAGAGACCATTTTCCCCAGGGCTTCTTATATACAGGAAGCAGACTACATCCCTACAGCAGCTACTAAGCTGCTTACAGTAGATTCCACCATGGAGCTGATGACCAGTCTCATCATGGAGAACAATCAGCTGCCCAGCCACTCAGCCAGGCCCAGCCAAGTTGACACACAAACTGAACAACAATAAGGCAGCACAATATCCTAACAATGATTGATGATTACATCAGCTTTCAGACAGGGAGATATGAGGGGGCTGGATTTTGAGAAAGTTGATGGGTGTGCATTGATTGACAAAGAACATAAGGGAGAAAAAGTCCTTGTTCTAAAAAGATGAAATGGTATCTTGCAGGATGACAGTTGAGAATGACAGAATTGTTCTGTGGAGAACAAGCAAATTAAATTGGTTTAAGTGGAAGTTTGTGTTGAAGATTGTAAGATACTAGGTTATAGAGAAAACAGGAACATAGGAGATGTGGACAATTTGAGGGTTAGTGTGAAGGAGGGGCATTTCTGATTGCCCAATAGGTTAAAAGGTAGTCAAAATTAATGAAGTTAGTGTTCATGAAGCAAGTTTTATAGGTGTTAACTCATTGTAAGGTAAACTATGAAGCCTATTAAGGCACTGAGTGGTACTGAGTTTGGGTGTAAGTACTGCTTGCAAAATAGTGGATGTATAGAAGTTTTACATGTTATGACTGACTACATAAAGGAATATAAAACAGTTTTTAAAAGTATAATAATGTTAACTGAAATTTGAGTAGGGTTGAATTTCGTATATTTTTCTTTTGTTTCAGGTTGCTGCTTAAGAGGACACCCATGATCCTGATGGTGTTTTTATGCAAGATAAATTACTCTGTTGACTTTATTAAATAACTCAACAAATTCAGGTTAGTACAGTTTTGTGGACATCACTTCCTTGTTATATTTTAAGTGGTGGATAATTTTATGGTTAAAGCTACATGAATATATACCAGTGGAATAGAAAGGCCAAGTCAGTCTAAATTCTCCTGAATTGTGTCTTAGTTAACAAACATTTTTTGATTACCTGCTATGTACAATCTGCACTGCATAAAATAAAATAATATTTTCCTTTTACTTCTTTTTAAATAGTTCAGTATTTTAAGAGGCTGGGTAAAATAAGTTGTGCTGTACATGACACATCATACTCTTGGTATTGTTTATTTAAACCATATTTGGTGTTTAAAGTAAACAACTCATCTTAAAAATTTCTGACATTTTTAGCAACTGACTTTTATAGGTATTATTCTTGTCTAGATTTCAGTCATAGGTGAACAGATTTTTTTGTCTTCAGTGTTCAATTCCATGTTGTTGTTGTTCATTGCTTTCGAATGAGCTCCAGCTCATAATGACTCTATTACAACAGAAAAAAACACTGCCTGGTCCTTTGCTAGCCTCACTATCCTTGCTATGCCTGAGCCCATCGTAGCAGCCACTCTGTCAGTCCATCTCATTGAAGGTCTTCCCCTTTTTCTGTGACCCTTTGCTTTACCAAGCATGATATTCTTCTCCAGGGAATGCTTCTTTCTGACACCATGACAAAAGTAGGTGAGATGAAGGCTGGCCATTCTCGCTTCCAAGGAGCATTCTGGCTGTACTTCTTCCAGAACAGATCTGTTAGTTCTTCTGGCAGTCCATAGTACTTTTTCCAACACCACAACTTAAAAGCATCAACTCTTCTTTGGTTTTCCTTATTCATTGTGCAGCTTTCATGTGCATATGAGGTGACTGAAAAAACCATGGCTTTGGTTAGGCGCATCTTAGTCTTCAAAGAGACATCTTTGCCCCTTAGCGCTTTAAAGAGGTCTTTTGCAGCACATTTACCCAGGTAGCACAATATGACGTCTGATTCCTTGACTACTGCTATGAGTTGTCCACCCCTCGTCTGTCAGTTTGTCGTACTGTGGTGGCTTGTGTGTTATTGTGAGGTTGGAGGCCATGTCACTGGCGTTCAGATACCTGCAGGGTCATCCATGGTGTACAGGTTTCAGCAGAGTTTCCAGAATAAGAAAGACTGAGAAGAAGGAAGGGGCCATCTGTGTCTAAAAGAATCGGCCAGTGAAAACTTTGTGAATAATGATGAATCACTGTCTGATGTATTACTCGAAAACTTTACAAATAGTCCTGAAACATTGTCTGATACAGTGCCGGAAGATGGGTCCCTCAGGTTGGAAGGCACTCAAAATATGACTATGGGAGAGCTACCTCCTCAGAGTGGAGTCAACTTTAATGATGTGAATGGAGTAAAGCTTTCGGGATGCTGGCATGGCATGACTGAAAATGGGGAAAAAACATATGCAAACATCCATTAGTAATTGGAACATGGAATGTACTACATATGAATCTAGGAAAATTGGAAGTTGTCAAAAATGAAATGGAATGCATAAAGAGTGATATTCTAGGTATTAGTGAGCTAAAATGGATTTTTAGCATTTTGAATCAGACAACTGTGTGGTCCACTATGCCGGGAATGACAAATTGAAGAGGAATGGCATGGCATTCATCGTTACAAAGAAAGTTTCAAGATCTATCCTGAAGTACAGTGCTGTCAGTGATAGGATAATATCTGTACGCCAACAAGGAAGACCAGTTAATACCACTATTACTCAAATTTATGCACCAACCACCAAAGCCAAAGATGAGGAAGTTAAAGGTTTTTACCAACTTCTGAAGTCTGAAATTGACCAAACATGCAATCAGGGTGTGTTGATTATCACTGATGATTGGAATGCAAAAGTTGGAAACAAAGAAGAATCACCAGTAGTTGGAAAATACGGTCTTGGTGATAGAAAGGAGGCTGGAGATTGCATGATAGAATTTTGTGAGACCAATGACTTATTTATTGCAAATACCTTTTTTCAACAATGTAAAAAGCAGCTGTACATGTGGTCTTCACCAGATGGAGTACACAGGAATTGGTTGACTGCATCTGTGGAAAGAGATGATGGAGAAGCTTAGTATCTTCAGTCAAAACAAAGCCAGGAGCTGACTGTGGAACAGACCATTAACTGCTCATATGCAAGTTCCAGTTGAAGTGGAAGACAGTTAAAAGAAGTCCAGGAGAGCAAAAACACGATCTTGATTATATCCCTCCTGAATTTAGAGACCATCTAAAGAATAGATTTGATGCTTGAATACCAGTGACCGAAAATGAGAGGAATTGTGGGATGAAATCAAGAATATCATCCATGAAGAAAGCAAAAAGTCATTAAAAAGACAGGAAAGGAAGAAAAGACCAAAATGAATGTCAGAAGAAACTGAAACTGGCCCTTGAACAGAAAGTAGCTAAACCAAATGGAACAAACAACAAGATAAAGAGCTGAACAGAAGATTTCAAAGAACAGCTCAAGAAGACAAAGCCAATTAATATAATGAAATGTGCAAAGACCTGGAGTTAGAAAACCAAAAGGGAAGAACACGCTTGGCATTTCTCAAGCAAGACAAAGCCAATTAATATAACGATATGTGCAAAGACCTGGAGTTAGAAAACCAAAAGGGAAGAACATGCTTGGTGTTTCTCAAACTGAAAGAACTGAAGATTTTATTCAAGCCTTGAGTTGTAATATTGAAGGATTCTGTGGGCAAAATATTGAATGATGTGGAAAACATCAAAAGAAGATGGAAGGAGTGTACAGAGTCATTGTATCAAAAAGAACTAGTCAATGTTCATCCATTTCAGGAGATGGCATACTATCAAGAAACAGTGGTATTGAAAGAAGAAATCAAAGCTGCTCTGAAGGAATTGGCAGGAAACAAGTCTCCAGGAATTGATGGAATACCCATTGAGATGTTTCAACAAATGGATGCTGTGCTGGAGACACTCCCTCATCTATGTCAAGAAATTTGGAAGACAGCTACCTGGCCTCCTGACTGGAAGAGATCCATATTTGTACCCATTCCAAAGAAAGGTGATACCACAAAATGTGCAAATTATTGAACAATATTATTAATATCACATGCAGGTAAAATCTTTCTGAAGATAATTCAAAAACAGTTGCAGCAGTATATTGACAGAGAACTTCCGGAAATGTAAGCTGGATTCAGAAGAGGACGTGGAATGAGGGATATCATTGCTAATGTCAAATAGATCTTGGATGAAAAGAAAGAATACCAGCAAGGTGTTTACTTGTGTTTAATTGACTATACAAAAACATTTGATTGTGTGGCTCATAACAAATTGTGGATAACATTGAGAAGAATGGGAATTCCAAACACTTAATTGTGCTCATGAGGAACCTGTACATAGACCAGGAGGAGGCTGTCATGTGAACAGAACAAGGGAATAATACTGCATGGTTTAATATCAGGAGGGTGTGCTTTGGGTTATATCCTTTCATCATACTTAATTCAATTTGTATGCTGAGCAGATAATCTGAGAATCTAGACTATATGAAGAAAAGCGTGGTAAGAGAATTGGAGGAAGATTCATTAACTTGTGATATGCAGATGACAAAACTTTGCTTGCTGAAAGTGAAGATGACTCAAAGTACTTACTGACAAAGATCAAAGAGTACAGTTTGAAGTATGGATTACATCTCAACCTAAAGAAAATGAAAATCCTCACAACTGGGCCAGTAAGCAGCATCATGATAAATGGAGAAAAGATTGAAGTGCTCAAAGATTTCATATTACTTGGTTCCACAGTTAACACCCATGGAAGCAATAGTCAAGACATCAGAGCATCTGTTGCACTTGGCAAATCTGCTGCAAAAGACCTCTTAAAAGTGCTGAAGAGCAATGATGTCTCTTTGAAGACTAAGGTGTGCCCAACCCAAGCCATGGTATTTTTCAGTTGCCTCACGTGCATGTGAAAGCTGGTCAGTGAATAAGCAAAACTGAAGAATTGATGCTTTTGAGTTGTGGTGTTGGCAAAGAGTACTGTAAGTACTATGGACTGTCAGAGGAACTAACAGTTCTGTCCTGGAG